CATTATTATTATTACAAATATCATTAATGACGTCAGGTTAAAACGTCTGTGAGGAGCGTTTGCAGCATCTTGTTGAATCGTGAAGACTTGAATATCAGCAAGATGTGCATAATAAAGTGTCCGGAGACTGTATGTTAATCACTTCCATCATGTGAGTGAATTTGAAACATAAGTTTAACTGATAAATTATGTGCCGAAGCGGCAGCCGTGAATAAATCCTGAGTGATTCATCTGACTCTGTGATTTCAGAGCGAAGCAGCATCATGTGATCCTTCAGGTTCCTGCGAGTCTTCGGGGAGCTGCAGGAACTCTGAGGACAGTTAAAGGTGGAGGCGTCCATGACGACAGCTGAGGCGGGTGTGAAAAAGCTCTGAGCTGATTGGACAGCTCAGGTCTGTTTGTTTGGTGGTTCAGGTCACATGAACGCATTAAACAGGATCTCTGTGTTCTCATAAACCGTCTAACTACAATCTACCTGAGGGGAACATTTCCTAATAATCACTTCCCTCCTTTCTATGAACTTCTGTCCAAGCTCCGCCCCCCTGGAGGCTGCTGACTGCTTGCGGTCGTTTACTCGGCTGGATTTTTTCCAGGAAACCGTCACTGGGCCGCTCGAGGCTCAAACATGCACCAATTTGTCAGCAGAAACATGAGCCGAGTAATCCTGTAATAGCAGGAAAAGCTCAGGCCTGTGTGTGATCGGAGCCAGCAGGCACGGCCTCACAGTGGAAACCCCAGTCAAACCAGTGTTTCCACTGTGAGGCTCAGAGCAGGACAGTTGTCCAGCACACAGGAGGAAACTGGTCATCAGTGACAGTGTGTGGGTGGATTAAGGTGCAGCTCAGGCAATAACCTGACACCCCGCCAGCATCATGAGCTGACATGTTAAAGAGTGAGTGCGGCTCAGGCTAAGGTGTGTCACAGCACGTCTGCATTCAAAGCAGCTTCAAATCCTCTGCTGCGCCATCGTATCTGTTCAAGTCTCCAAACGTGGGCTTTCGTGCTCCGAATAAACCGAGCATTTCGTTCACGACACCTCCACCTGTCAGACCCATGTGACCCCGTCTGCTGGCCCTCAGCACGTTTGTGCAGTGTGAACATCTGGACGCTCTCTCCACATGTGCTGCAGAGTCTGAACCTCAGACCAAACATCAGAGTGATGGCACAGAGCTCAGAACAAAAACACGGCGCCCTGAGCACCCATCAGGACGCTCCGTGCGCTCGAACCGGACTGACAACATTCCTGGCTGAGGCGGAAACGTCAGCACCAGGAGACAACGCTCCTTTCAGCATGTACATGCACGTCACACACACACTAATCCTGTCCAGCAGCTTTTGCAGTCAGAACTGTGACCTGCAGCAGGCAGTGGACCCGCTACAGGCCAGCCACCCCGGTACAAGCCAGGAACAGAAGCCTCCAGCAGGGAGCAGGGCCACAACCCACAGGGCTCATCAGCAAGCCCCAGACATGCACACACGCCTCACTCTCACCCA